ATGCAATCATGAAGTTAACCAAGAATATTACATTGACATGTTTATGGACGAGAGAAATACTTATCTATGTTGATGTCGATGAACAAGCCTCACTTTTAAGGTATTATGTGCCAGTATGTATAAGGAACTTAGGTGCAGCTTTGCCAAAATATATGGATTTTCCATGTCTATGCTTTGCTACTCAGAACTTTGGGTTTATGATGAGAGGTAGGACAAAAGAGGATGAGGATGGCGAGGGGTGATTGATTGAGTATAGGGTTATTGTTTTAACAAACTGGATGCAAATATTGCAAGGAAGTAGTAGGATAGAATTATTATATTTCTGAATGGAAGAAGGCAGGAAGGGATGCGGTTAAAGCGAACTAACAATCTAAGAAGAATGCTTTACCCAGCACCATATGAGGAACCCATGTATCCTAGTAGATATAGACTCTCCTACAGAGCTTGCTCGTGGCCATTATGGATTAATATTTTGATTAGTTTTGCTTTTACAATTCTTTATTTTTATCTATTTTCTAGACAAGGATACTCACTGTTAGAGAAGGTGAATATTAGGAAGGAACTATCAGTAGATACTAAATTATTAATAAAGTTACAAGTTAATTAGTTTTTGCAAATAGATCACATGCAAAAGTAATATGACTGTAGAAAGTATAAGGTAAAGCTAATTACTCAGTATCATGTAGTGGAATCGAATAAAATTTCACCAATTTTAAAAATCTTTTAGAGAGGAGGGGTAGAAGTAATTTGATTAGTTTATGCAAATAGATCACATGCAAAAGTTATATGACTGTAGAAAGTATAAGGTAAAACTAATTAATCAGTATAATGTAGTGGAATCAATTAAAATTCCACCAGTTTTCAAGATCTTTTACAGAGGTCACAATTTTATGAAGAAGCAAAGTGTGCACAGAGGCGTGGCTGACAATTTGGGGGCCCTGTTCTAAATTTCAATCGGGGCCTCTTAATCAATCTTCAGAAAAAATTAATAATTGTTTTATACGTAGTACTAACCATGGAAAGAAATTTTTATATCTAGAATTAAGAAAAACATTAAGACATAACAATGGTTCTATGCAAAACATATTACGTGTAAAATATTAATAGTAAAAAAAAGATACACAAAATCAACATCTTACTAATAATCTTAACATGTCCGACATCAAAAACTTCACTGGAAAACTTTTCTCCTTGCATTTTTTGTTGCAAAGTCATCAATCAAATCTTCATAATCAATCTTGTCTAAGAATCCACTTTCAACTGAGAGCAAAGCCAGTCCGTTTAGCCTCTCCTGCGACATGGTTGATCTCAAGTATGATTTTAATATCTTTAACTTTGAGAAACTCCTTTCTGCTGATGCAACTGTGACAGGTATAGTCAACAAGATTCTATATGCAATACTAGCGGCTGGGAAACAATTCATCCTCTTCAAGAAATTCAATACGTCAATGGCTTTCATATTTTCTGATGGCAACATATTTTGTAAGATTAGCAACTCTGCGAATAATTCATCTCCATCAACATCAGAACAACTTCCTTTCTTAAGACTGTTTGCAAGATTAGCACAACAAGCTTTTAAATCATCATTCTGATATGCACATAACTTTTCCGGTCTAAATAAAAACCCAAAAATATTCTCGTATGTCTGATACTGTTCAAATCTTCTCTCTAATGAACCAATAATTTGATCAACCAGTAATAGAAAATAATGAACTCTGAAATTTTCCTCACCGGACTGCTGAGTTAACTCTGATGACTGAGCTCCAACCTCATCAAAATGTCTTTTTCTAAAGATTTATCGCTTCTCAGGAAATACTGGATCAACTCCCAAATCAGCAGCAAGTGTTTTGGCAGTAATCATGGCCTCTGCAAACCCAGTTTCTCTATACTTTCTGAAAGAAACAATCAGGCCATTTACTAATTCTATAGCAACATCAATTGGAATGTCTTTCTCTTGCAAACGCTTACTAACCTTGTTAACAGTGACCAATATCTTATACCAAATAGTCATGCCTAATAAAAACACAAAATCCCCAAGCTCGTACTTTGCTAAAGATTTAGCTTCACTTCTTATTTTTGTGTCTTTGTCATTTTCTGCTAATTGAAGTAAAGCTTGTCTGATCTGTAGAGGTTGTGATTGAATTGCCTTAACACTTTCAACACGACTTTCCCAACGTGTGGTCGATAATGGCTTGAGAGTAACTCCTATAAGATTATCCATCAAAATCTTCCAACGTTTTGTAGAATTTGCGAACAAGGAATAAATTCGTTGTACTACTCCAAAGAAATCCTGAGCTTTGATGTTACAGTTTGCTATATCACAAAGGGATAAGTTAAGGCTGACATCCACACATCTCAAAACCAGAGTCATCTGTTCTTGGTGACTAATATCAGGAGTACAATCAAGTATAACAGAAAAGTATTTACTTTCTCTAACCCGAGATATGATTGCACCTCGGATTTCAGAAGATATCATGAGTATCAACTCATTTTGAATAACATTACTTGGATAATGATAACAGATCTGCTTATTTTGAATGCGACGAAGATGTTCCTCCATCACATTATCATGCTCTGCCACCATCTGAACTAATCCCAAAAAATTTCCATTGTTTTCTTTATCAATCCTCTGATTTTTGCCCCGAAAAGCCAAATTGTATTTAGCAAGATATTTCACAATTGAAATCAACCTTCGTAACAGTTTTCTCCAATGCTCCTTCTCTTTCATGATATGATCTTAACTCAATCCAAGCAGCCATGTTATGAATATGCGCCTTACTAACTTCATGTTCATTAAGCCGCACACCCACATGTGACCAATCATTATATCCTTCATTTGCTAGCTGAGTTATCATAGCTTTTTCTTAAACAACTTACAACAAAAACAAAATGCTTTATCAATCTCCTTACAGTATACAAGCCATATCCTATCAGATATCTCTCCATTATGTATGTGTCGAGTGTATAATCCTGAAGTAAAGCGTTTATTCAATCTATCTTTAGGACCTTTTTTTATCGACAAGTCTCTTACAGGACCTTTTACAGCTAACAGATCTCTCCATTTATCATCCAGACTATCCTAAACTCTAGGATCATAAAGGTTTGTTGGAACTTGCTCACTTGGTTCCTCAACTAAGTCATTTAGAACTGCATCCAAATTCTCATTAAGCCCTTCTTCATCAGATTCGGTGTCACCATCCTCATTGTGATTCATACCATCAACATCTGCATTGCCATCATTCTCATTAGGACTTGGATCATCACTGTGATTTTCATCAAGTCCCTCATCTTCAATCAATTCCTCATTATCATTATCATCATCTTCATCAACTAAATCGTCAGTTGAAATAGTTGGACATTCTCTGACAAAGAACCTGTCAAGAGCACCTCGTTGTGATCGAGTCAATTGTTCCTCCTCCTTTTTTTGTTTCCTCTTCAAGCTTCCAGATTTGTACTTTCTAGGTGGCATTACTTCCAATCTTGAACAAAAAAAATAATAAAATAGGAAACAATCAACAAAACAACCAAATTTGAAAAATCAATTTGATAAATGTTAACCATAATCAAATTCAACAAAACAACCAAATTGAAATTGGGGATATAAACACTAAAAGACTCTAGAAGCATTCCACAAACATAGAATTATAACAATTTGATAAATGCTTTAGAATATTTTGATTCACAAAACCTTTGTACTTGTACAAACTTAAAATTCTAGCTGCAGAATCTCATATGTCATACATAGAATTATAGCTGCAGGCTCTCATAACATGGGTTTTCCTTATATCGGTCCCTTAATCTTCTTTTTTTTTAAATAAGCCTCTCAAAAGACTTAACTTTTTTTTAAGTTTCTCCAATACTTATATCACATAGTCCCGTTGGTATTTATCCACATAATACAGGTAAACTTCATCCAACAACTTCATGTAACTCATTTTTATTTCTGCAAAATTTAAGATTTCAATATCTAATGCCTCTAAATCTGTTACCAATATATTAAATCCAGTCTGGAATAAAAGCTAACATATCTCCAAAATAATAATAACAATAAGTACTAACTCACCAGTTCTGCCAGCAGTTTGTTCACTTTGTGCGTCAAGATAAGACTGTCAAAATAAAAGAAACTTTTATTAGTCCAGATTTAAAAAAAGTAAAAAGAAATTTTATTTTAAATCCACTCTTCTAACCTCATTTAATTTTTAAACCTACGCACTTACAAAATCATTTCACACACTCAAATCACCAAGTTGATTCATTAAAATCCAAATATTTTTCCATTCAGTTGTGATTGAAGTGTGTAAATTTCTGTAACTAGATCTAAACAGATATGAAAATGAATCACAAACATGCTTAAAACATCCATTAACCTAAAAAACTACAACAAATCTAAAAATACTCATCAAACTAAACAATTACAACTAAAACCCAGACAGACCCATTTCATTTTCGACAAAATCAAACAAAACCCAGATAGGAAAATTAGCTAGAAATCGTCCAAGATCAGAGGCGCCTTTGAAAACTATAAATTACACAAGCAAACAGCACCCAAAGGTGATCAATTCTAGCCTTTGGTTTCGTAAATGTTCAACGCGTGGTCAATCATCCCTAAAACAACCCCAAAATCGAATCAAGAGGAGACCCAAAACATCGAACCCAATAATCTGAAACTTTAGGGTTTTGACGGATGGATCATGGAATCAAACACAAAAGACATTGAGACAAGCTAAAGAGGTGGGGACGTGGGGTTTACCTGAATCAAGAGCCAAGAGG